GTGTATATCACCAATGCTGACTACGGGAGAAACACGAAGTTCTGTTTGACAATGGTATGTGCCATTCACTTTTGTATTGTCCGTGGCGGCAGTTGGTGGTAGTGGCGTACCTGTACTTTCACTTCACAAGTAGTAGCGCAAGTCCTTAAGGGTTATGATTGTCCGTGTCGCAGTCTGGTGTACGTTGGCAGTTCTCTGACTCCTTGATTTCCTGCCGGTAGATGTGCTCGCGCTACTGCGGGATATACCGGTATGGCCACCCTCGTCATTCTGATCCATTATGGTGCTCTTGTTGCTATTTAAAATCCTGGTAAAATGTTTGTTTTGGACCTGGGTGTGTGGTGGTAAAACCTTAGGTGCGGGCCCGACCGTGCCACCCACCTGCGCCCTCTCCTGTCTCCGGCCTTCTTGAATATGTCTTGACACCGAGCCCAGGTAAGGAGGAGGAGAGAGTTCAGCCTACTCTGCGCAAGCCTTATCGCATTATAAACTAATTCAAGCACAGGTCATCGCGCCTACTTCTCCTTGCTTTGGAGCACACGGTGGACATAGTCGGTTGCGACCGTTGAACTGTCATTAGCGAAAAGCCAATTAGACCAGCAAGAGACGGGTATAGCGTGCGGCCATCATGACCGGTCTGGCGTCATTGCTCAAGACCTCGCTGCCTCGAGGTCATCCACCCTTTTGCAGTGAGCCGTTCCAGACGCGCTGACCTGAAGTCACTCGACCGATAGCTCGGGCATACCTGCGTCCGCACAGCCGCAGCCGCCCATGCCGCAACTTGAACGCATCTCTCCCCTGCAAGCACAACCTAAGCCACTAGAACACCATCCCACGGCAAATGCAACGCACGCCGATTGGAGACCACTTGAGCTTGGCCCACGAGCCTACAAAAGCGGCTGCCACCACTACCCCAAGGACTCTCAGATATGACTGGACGCAGTCAACACCAGCCCTGGCTTCGCCAGTGTCCACTGTCGCCTGAGAGGAAAACTCCGGGTTCTGTGCACGATAAACCCCTCATGTTGGCGCCTTCCGTCTTCTCCTTCCAATCTGGGATTTGACTTGATAATTGTAGCTCACAAACTACACAAACTTATGTGCAGCTACAGGTGACCTACTAAGTACAGAACCGTGAGGTACTGCCTCTGGCGGTATTGACCACTGACAAGGTCATGGCGTCTGTTGATAGCGTACAGTCATGCAAGAAAGAGTGCGTCTCCGATATCGGTTGGCTTTATATGTGCGTCGGAGCCAGGTCAACATTGTATATGTCCAAGTGGCGCCCTCGTGTT